TCAAAAAATACCTGAGCCTTTTCGAATGCCTCACCAGGAAGGCCGAAATGTATATGTTTCGATGAGAAAACACAATTCTGTAGAATTTACCATAAACACGTGTAATACATGCCTCCATAAGGAAGAAGGCTTATCAAACCAAGCACAAGCGGTTCACATGTTCTACTCTATGAAATGCAGTCCACTCCGTGACCTATCTTACAGCAACAAGGATTCACATTCATTGGAGCTAGGTCATCTAACTATGCATAAATGTGCAATTAGTTCATGGCTTGCATTTATTTTGAATGAATGGTTATAGTAATGGAAGAAACATTACACAGATGGTTGTATCCAATATGTTTCTTGTGATCCATAAAAGCACAATCATAGGCCTCCTTGCAGAACAGTTCAAGAAACTTCTCCTGCAATGAACATAAGCAATGTTGGGGGGACTACATTTCAAAAATTAACTTCAAGATAATCATTACCAACACATTAAAACCCACCATAGCTTATCAAGAAATGCTTTAAACTACACATCACCTTGAATCGGATTCTACTCATCACTTTATATATGAAGCGATGTAGTCATAATGACTGCACATCTTCAATGTTCCTTTTCTAGATTTTGAAATTATATGCAAAAGACCCTTTTATTGATCTTTAAATTGGGCACCAGCCTCTTTTTCCATCATATAAGGCCCCTGTTACACTCATTTTTTGTTTCGAGGAAACACAAAACTATACTTACTAAGCGAATGCTGGCAAGACCATGATCAACCTGTGAATGGTGATGGAATACGCTTGGTGTCAGTTGATGAAATTGTGTTCTTTCAGGGGAAAAAAATAAATAAAAATCTTCCACTTTATTTCCTTCACTGTCCATCGGGATTCTAACTATATTTTATCATGTTTCTTCGTACCACCTGCTAGTAATGTACCTCCTTTTTCATGGATTAAGACATTGCCGGTAAAATGCCATGGACCATCAGCGCATTCCATGGACTGGAATATAAAAATTTGTGTTATAGAATTCAATGCTTGAAGTGGATAATTAAAAGAATCTTAACATATAGTTCATTTCGAAAATTTGAAAAATAGCATAATTTTTAAGAAAAAATTGTCCTTAAACCAGTATAAAAATCATTTGATAAATTGGGCACTGCAAGTCTTCTCTAGCAATACCACTTTCAAGAACTGATTTAGTTGTTTATGAAACTTGTTGCATAGCTTATGCATTTAGAAAGCTGTAAAACGCTAAGAAAGAGCAAAAAAACAATTCACATCGAGATAAAATCATGCCGAAACCTAATTTTTCAATTGCAAATTCCATAGGCATGCATCAGAGAACAAGACAAAATCAAAGAAATTGAGAATTATACCGAAGCTCTGTTGACGAGGAAAACCGCCTCCTGAGAAATCCGAAGATCCGAATCCTCGCTCTTAATAATCCGACTGACCCGATTCATTGGAAACTTATACAATGTAGTAGTCCCACTCTTCTCCTCGTTTTCTTCCTCTTTTTCAATTTTCATTTTTCCCTTATTTTTCACCTTCTTTTTGCCGTTCTTCTTCTCCTCTCTTTTCCCTTTTTCCTTCTGTTCTCCCACTATTCCGTTCTCCGCCTCCTCGCTGGATTCTTCAACGACCTCGTTCTGGGATTCAGTGCTCGAAGACGGCACGATTGTAGCTTCAGGCTCTTCAGCTTCATCATTGTTATGGGCTTTTCTCTTCGGTTTGAT